GAGTTCAAGTCCCACAACTGACAAAACAAAACACAACAAAAATAAATAAATAAAATAAGCAATGTACTCATTAGGTTGTGATTGTCAATGTTTTTTAAAATCAGTGATTTCACTAATTAGTTACAAATGTGCCGTGAGATAAGAGTCTGGCATATGGTATTGATAGACCTTTCAACAAATATACTTTATGAGAAATTCTGGATATTTCTGATTATTTGCTTTTTCTCCATCATATATACATCAGTAAGCCAGCTTAATGGTGGAATGTATTAGATACAGTGACACTAGTTCTACAACATTCTTTACTCAGATTTCAGGTGGGTGGGCATCAGCCATCTTGCCTGTAAATCCTATTCAAGTAGAATGTTTTTCCTGTGGTCTCATGACCCTCAGCTTTTACTTTTGATAAGTTAGGTCAACATCTTGTGCCTTCAAAAGAGCAGTGGCCTGAATGGATAAGTGATTTAGACATCCACTTTTATCTGAGAACTCATTGCTAGCTCCTGCCTAATAGTCATAGTGTTATCCCTGAACAGTTCCCTATTCAACTCCAACAACTGTGAATCTGGCTCCCAACAGTTACTCCTCCCTGGAAAGATCCACAGTAGTTCCTCAGATATCTCTTTCTGCTTGATAAGGGGTAGACACAAATTCAGGCCTCATGAATTTCTTCTTCTGCTTTTTAAGTGTTCAAATAAATTCTCTTTCCTCCTGTTTGGTAAAAAGCAGCAAGATTTGGTCTTTCTTTTGCCATTGTTACATATCTGATTTCTAGAAGCTTGAGAAACCAAGATGATTAATGCGTATAGAAACTCTGTATGTGTTTTCTTAATGTATCTTTACCACTAATGAGTCCCCTTGATTTTAAAAGTCCTGAAAATAGCGTTCTCCACTGATAGTCCATCAATCACATCATCACTTCATATTCAGACTTCAGGGGAACACTTTCTCCATAGAGTTCTCTGCAGCAGTATGTCTGTGACAGCCAAAATTGTAAAGGAAATAGAAGAACAGTGAACCTGAACTAAATGCTTCTTGTTACTGCTTCCTTATATATACTCCATAGTCCTCTGAGGATTTATCTCTGTGAACAAAATGTTTTTTCTGGATCCAGTGTTACATGAAAAGTTAAAATGATGTGTAAGACCTCATACATGTTTATACCTCAAAAGAAATATTCATATCTAAGTAGAAATTTCAAATTAATCATTTTTAGAACTCTTTTCAGAGGTTTACTTCACAGAAGTGCTGGTGATTAATTTATTAAACTTACTTTTATCCACTTCTATTAGTACTACAGAGAAAAGGAAGGGAAAGAGGCCAGAAATGCCACAGACACAGATTTTGGGGGTGAAGGGGGGGATGGGGAAGCTCTGGTGAGATTGCTTCTCATCTTTCTCTTCACATCTGAAGTAAGAACAGAACTTACATTGTTTGCAAAGTTGAAAACAAATATGTTTTTCCTTTATAGTTCAAAGATTTAAATATCACATCCTTCTAGAAACAGAATATGTGCTAGACATATGCTTCTTCAAGTAGAATGTCTTTCTTGTAGTCTTATGACTCTCACACAGCTTTTACATTTTATAAGTAAGGAAAACATCTTGTTCATAGACAGGAAGACATGTAGGTTTAATTTTAAAGCTTTGGATTTTAAAGGATCACTTGGTTTGTACCTTGCTCTTTCAAGTTACTCTCTTTCAAAAAGTATTTATAAATTATTTACTATGCACAAGGACGTTTTCTAGCACAGGAGATCTATACATGAGCAAAAGATAACCCTGTCATTATAGAGGTTAGCTTAGTATGAAGACAGAATTAACAATAATAAACAAAATGGGATAAAACAGTGAAAAATGCAACAGAAGAAAACCATGCTTGGTAAGGAGGTGGGGAAAGACAGCAGATGTGTGTGGGTGAAGTGATGGACTTCCTTCACTTTTAGATAAGGCTGTTGGAGAAATGTATCATGTGTAAGGAGAGTTTCAGCTGTGCAGAGACCTGAATACCACTTGAAATCTTCCTTCTCTAAAGATTATTCCCAGTCCCTTTTTCTGAAATGGCAGTCTCTGGTGACTGGTAAAAGTCTACCTCCTCTGTGACAAAATGCATCCTAAATTGTTTGCACCATTGCTTTCTGCTAAATTGACAAGCCCGTGGCTAAGGTGAATAGAATCACAACCAAGCAGAACATCTATAAGTGACTCTGCCAAGTCAAAGGAAAAATTAGTCTTTCATGGTGCTGCATTACCTTCTGAGGTTTTGCAAATGGACTGTAGCCATCTTGAGGGAGAAATTTCATTTCTCCACTTATTAGAGGCAAGTTAGGATTGTTTTCCTATCTACCAATGGCAGCCTGGGTCTGTACCATTCGCCATTGGCTCTGTCTTCAAATATGGGGACAGTGTAGCAATATAAAGGGCTTCTGTAGGAGAAAGTAGGAAAGAGCTTGTGTGTCATTGTTCATGCCATCAGTAACCAAATAATACTTATTTCTTTATAAGAATCTAGTACATGCGTGATGGACTTAATTTTTTACAAGTAGGTTTAAATTATATCATAGACACATTTTATTTGGAGGCTGGCAAGATATTAGACTCAGTTGAAAGCTTTGTATAGCTAGACAATGTTTATTTTCCTTTGCATGATCCTAATATCATATGCTCACATTCTGTGAGCAGATACCCCTAATCCTTACGTCCCTATACATTTCCCTGAATCAATATTTTCACGAAGTAACTTTTTAAAATTCATTTAGTTTTACTACTGCACATGGACAAAATCATCCCAGTGGCATGATGGTTATCAAGAAAGGTTAATTACATAAGAAATTCTGTGGGATAAAGAAATACACGACTAGGATCAGAATGTAGCTGCAATCTGAAAAGGAAACAATAAACAAGAGATACACTCTAAACAGAAAAGTAAATGGAAAGTATAGAATAACTCATTTTCAACATAATTTTAACAATTACAACCAAAACTTTGGTGCTATTTGACCAGTTTTCTAGAAGTCGTTTATATTTAGTACAGTAATCATGCTATGAATTAGAAATAAGTTTGTAATTAACTACATGATAATTATTTTGGCCAAGGCCACATAATAACTCTTTTAGAGAACAGAGCAAGAATAGAGTATGAACTCAGATCCATTAAGTTATTTCTTCTTTTCTAAATGACATCTAGAATATGTTAGGACTATTCAAGGCACCTAAGAGAGCTGATTATTTAGATATGTTAGGTAGGACACTATTTTTATATTTTCTGAAATCCAAGAATTCTCAGTAGATGTATACATGCATTAGTATATGAATAAATGATAAATCCAGGAAGTTCAGTCAGACCAACCTATTATTAGCCCCAAATTTGGGGAAACAGTCTAATAACTCATTTATTAATATCTTATTCCAGAGAAGGTATCAAGAAAGAAGAAAATGAATTAAAAATATTTTTGTGATATATCCTTGTCCATCTAATATAAATGTTTAACTTTTAAGTGAAATTAGCTGGTATAGACTGAAATTTGAAATGAAGTGAAATATGACTTAAAATAAAATATTTAGGGTTGGGAAGGTGGCTCAATGGTAGACTGCTTGCCTCACATGCATGATGCCCTGGGTTTGATTCATCAGCACCACATAAGCAGAATAAGCTGAAAGTGGCGCTGTGGCTCAAGCAGTAGAGCACTAGCTTTGAGCTGAAGAGCTGAGGGACAGCACCCAGGCCCAGAGTTCAGGCCCCATGACTGACACAAACATAAATAAATAAATAAAATAAAATAAAATCTTTAATGTATTGAAAATTAATTTTTATTTTTAACAAGTTTTTTAATTGCAAAAATATAGCACAGAGGGGTTACAATTACATGAGCAAGGAAATGAGTACATTTCTTATCAAGCATTATTGCCTCCTCCTTTGTTTTTCCCTACCATCCCTTCCCTCCCATCACCATGACTACACTACCCCCTACCCCCTGCACCCTCCACCAAAGTTGTACAGCTCATTTTTCAACATTAAAATGGTTGGTTTTCTCATTTTAAAGAACTATGAAAAATAGATAATAGAAAACTAATAGCTTAAAACCAATATTATAAAATGTACCTAATTCTGAGTTGGTTTTGGGGAGTTGATTTTGTTATTTTCTTTTTTCTATCAGTACTTATATCAAAACTCATTCACTACTTCATGAGCACCTTTAATAGGAGAAATCTGATATTATTCACTTGAAGAAAACAAGAAACAGAGTAGCCTGGGCTGTGATTGAGTTTGTTATGAAAGTGAATAGCACAAGCAATTAACACACTGATGATGGTTTTTTTCAAGATAACCTTTGTTCCTTATGTATCCAATATTCAACATCCCAGGAAACATTTTGATAATTAAACAGAAAAGAGTTCTTGTCATTACATGGTAAAATAAGTGTAACATGGGTGAGCTAGGAGGTGGAACCTCCTTGTTTAATCCCCAACTTTTCAAGTATGAAGGACTTTGCATATATTTAGCAATGCTAGGATGCATATAATAAGCATATGTGGCCACAGTACCAGCCAATTCTCTGTGTTTTTTTTTTTTTTCATCTAGAATGCCCTGAATACAAAATTAATCATGAGGGCAAAGCTAGCTTATAAGCAGAAACATTTACCTATTATCCAGTACCATGCAATTTGTATCTGTTATTTATCTGAGTATGAATTTGAATTTCACAAGTGCTACTAATTGTCTAGTATGAAAACGTTGAAAAGGATCATCTAGTAAAGTAAAATGGAAAGTTCAAGTATTTGTCATTATGTTTTTAATCACATGACATGATTTTAAATTTGGGAGTTTACTGCAAAGCTTTTTACCTAGTTTACTACAAAAATTAGTCAGCTATTTCTCTGTTTTGTTTCTGAGCCATTAAAATAGTACTAAAATAGCTTCACAACTGCCCAACTAAACATTGGGGAGAAAGTCTGGAGAGGCCTATGTGTTCACTGAGCGACATTTTGCTTGGTTTGCAGGACCAGTGGTTTTGGCGAGTGAGAAACAACAGGGTGATGGATGGATACCCCATGCAAATTACTTACTTCTGGCGGGGCTTACCGCCTAGTATTGATGCTGTGTATGAAAATAGTGATGGGAATTTTGTCTTCTTTAAAGGTAAGGATGTTTTCCATATCTTCTCTGTCCTATATTGGTCATTTTTTCATAGACATTTATCATATATAGAGATGAGTAAGTAAACCTGATTCTGATTAGGTAGCAGATGGATTTTATAAAATTTATATTGAATAGTGATATCAGTACATGAATGAATATATATATGTATATATATTTTTAATACATCCTCAAGTATGAAATCAAATTTTGGTGACATCCTGTTCTCTAGGAACTTTTATATATAAGTTAAAAACATAAAAAATAAAAGACAATAAAAGTCAGTTGTAATGGCTCATACCTGTGTTGCAGCTGCTCAGTAGGATGAGGCAGGAAGATCATTTGAGCCTAGGAGTTGGAGACAAGCCTGGTCAACATAACGAGATCTTGTCTTAGAAAAACAAAAAAGGGAAGAAAGAAGGAAAGGAAATAAATAGACTTTTTTATTATCTTTGTTGGATAATATCTGTCATAATTCATTTCCACATATTCTTAAATTTTTGCTGCAGCTGTTCAGCAAAAACAAGAGAAAAAAGGTTAAGAGAAGCTACGAACCGAACAATTTCCCTACTTATATATATGTGAAATGTTGTCAGTTATTCATTTGAGTGGTAAATTTCACTTTCACAAATGCTGCTAATTGTCTCCTTTGAAAACCATCACCTACTAAAGTGATTCCTCTGTCCTTAAAATTTGACAATGGTAAACCTTAATTAAGCCTGGGGAAAGGATAGGAATGAAACAGACTAGATTTGAGAATTGAGGGAATTGTGACCTGAAACTGTAGAAAGAATATGATTGGATTTGTCAGTGAAGAGACTGAAAGACTGAACTATGAGTTTAGGGAAACAAAAGGAAATTTGCACTAAAACCAGGAGATTTTCTCATCATCAAACCAATACAATTTGATGATGGAAAATTAAAAGACAGGGAAACTCTTGAAACATTATCAGTGAGGTTCAAACTATCCGTATAAAATAAAAGTCTGTCCTAGGAATTTATTTTGTCTTGGAAAATTATATAGAAAGAGAGAGAGACAGACAGACAGAGACAGAGAGACAGAGAGAGGGAGAAAAAAGAAGAAAGAAAGAGAGAAAGAGTAAGAAAAAAGAAAGAAAGAAAGAAAGAGAGAGAGAAGAAAAGAAGGAAAGAAAGGAAGGAAGGAAGAAAGAAAAGAAAGAAAGAAAGAAAGAGAGAGAGAGAAAGAGAAAGGAAGGAAGGAAGGAAAAGATGGTACAATCTTGAGATTATTGCTATATATAAACTACTTAGCCCATGATAGCTGCCACAAAAAAATTATCACCTTCTGTTTCTGGTAATATGTGTTGTTCTTCCCTGTTGTTGTATAAGTACATAACTGAACTAGACATGTATTGTAGCACTGATCAAGTTGAGGATACCATCTTAAAGACTGTGAATCTTAAAAGCATGATATATGGAAGGAGATTTCCTCCCCCATTCCCTTCTTAGCTCCCAAGAGTGGCTACAAAAAGGAGAGGAGAAGGCTAACCCCTTCGGGCTATTCCAGGAGGCTTCGTCTCCAGGCAGCATCAATAGTGCTCTCTGACAGAACTGCCTGAGGGAAGAACTGCCATAGCAAACCAGAGGTGTGAGAGCTTTTTGCTGTCTCTGAAGCTTTTCAGTTTTGTGCAATGTGCTTTTTTCTCCTCACTGGTGGAATAGCTGGAATCTTTTCATGTGTCACCAGCCAGCATAAAAGGCCAGTCCTTTTATGTAAGCAATACTTTCAGACTAACACACAGGATTTGTATTTTCAAAAAAAAGCCTAATGTTAACTCCAACATTTAATTATAAATTTCATCATTGGAGATGGATCTTGTTTCTATTTTATTGATACCAATTCTGTTCCCCAGGTAATATTGGGGAACATAGTACACACTCAGTAAATACTTTGAAAGGGCTGAGGGGAATGCAGCCATCAAATTCAATGCATATTCTACAAAAATTTAAAAAATCGGGGGAAGTGATAGAATTGAGAGGTATGGGGGAGAATGATAAAGGGGTGAATTTGATCAGGATTCATTGTCTTTATATGCTGCATTGTGGAATGGCAACTCCTTTGTACAATTGCTTAAAGATAAAAATAAGACTTCAAAAATATTTTGATTAAAAACAATACCATGGAACCTGGAGGGATCCTCAAGTAGTAGAGTTCAGCTGTGAGTGAAAGCTGATTGGGAACAAGAGGCCCTGAGTTGAAGCTTCAATGCCAACACATATTTTTTTTAAAGCAATATCATGAAATACTAATTTGACTCCATAGGTGTTCCTTATTTTTCTGGTGCTAACAGTAACAACTGTGTCTCTTGTCACAAGATATATTTAACTTCTAGAACAGTTGTTTCTTGTGATCCATTGTACTCATCGGGCAAAGTTTGTTCCTTGGATCTGGTGACTTCAAAGACCATCCTCTACTGCCTCTTCCCTTGTTTGATTTACCTCCACCTTCAGATTAACAACCTCTCCAATACCCAGATAGGATGTAAATAATCCTGCTCCAAACCAGTTATTCTCCAGAGGGAACCAATAGCTCTGGTGTCGCCATCAAGACCATCTCCTCCTCTAATCTCTTCATCACCTGTGGAAGAAGCTAAGGAGAGAGCTCTAGAAATGTGGCCTTCTGATAGAAGTTACAGCTTGGCCTGACCATCCCCACAACAATCACAATCAAAAGGAAAGTCTCAGCTCAACACTATCTTCTTATGTCCTTTATTCCTTCAAAAAGTCCAGATAGTGACTACTTTATTGTTCATCTCCAGACAGCCAACCCTACTCTGCCCTGTGGGTCAGGAGATCCAAGCTCTTTATCTAAGAATCCAACCCTTTCCCCACCTTAATTCTTACCCCTTAACCACCTACTTATTTCTCTCATGTGTTGTTTATCCAGAACCTTCCACTAGGACATCCACTTCAGAAAGAAAGGTGTTCTTTCTTCTCTTTTATGCTGTCATACTCTCAGCATTTTGCAACATTTGAAAACTTAGTTTAGGTTACAAAACCTAAATATATAATGTCTTTGTCATTATGCTGATTTCCTTAATATTTAAAAATGTAAAAATTATTTTTGTGTCAGTGGTTATATCCTAAATAAATCAGGCCAGAGTTCAGTGTCTTTGTAAAAGAATTCTGTCTTATTTATACTTTAGATGGCATATACTCAGCAAAGACTTCTTGTGTGAAGTAAGAATAAAAGAGAAGCCTTAGTTTATAGGCCTATATTACAGGCCTATGCAAATTTGTCTACACTAATCGTTGTGAATGACCATTGTAGATGAAGCTAGAGTGGATTTAAGGATTGTTCTGGAAAGTGTTCCTTTCTTTAGACCTCTTCATCTTCATATACTTGGTCTTTGTCCTTTCCTTCCTTGTGTTCACAGTGTCATTTTTATGTTATTCTCTCGTCTTCTAATAGTATACAATTATAGTGAATTCACATTATCTTTTATTATCCCTATTTAATGAAAATCTATGTTCAGATATAATAGTATCAACAATATATTTGCTGAAAATTTTCTGTTAATGTTTTTGTCTTATATAATGACATGTCAATCAGTGTTTTATTTATAAAGTATATTGCCTTAGTAATATAAAAATAAGAATATCATCCATGTTATTTGTCCAATACAGCATCAAAGGACAAAGGAATGTGGAAGAGAGAACTGCTTGGGGTTAGAGCCCAGACATTCGCAGTTAGACCTTATAAGTCCTAGAGAAAGCACTGGTCTATACATCTGTTTCAGGGAAACCATAGTAGAGAATCATTCAGTAGGAATAAAGGAGTCACACAGAGCAGCACTCACAGAGGGATGTCTATTGCTACAACGTGCATAATAAATATTAGATAAGGTACTCCTCAATAGGGAGGGGTAATTAAGAATATCTATTATTCTGACTCTGCCTAACAGATATTCAAAGTAAAACATGAAATAATTAAATTAGTACCATGTAATATGTCTAGAATAAAGTTCAAGAGTATTTATAAAAACACAAAAACACTGCCCTCAACTGTAAAATTTATAACATCAAGCCTATTCAACATTCTACTGGATATGGTATCTAGTGTAATAAGATAAGAAGTATGAATTAAAATCAGCCATATTGCAAAGAAAAAGAAATTGCACCGGCAAACCAATAGGGATATAGAGATTGCATTCAAAAAGGTTTATCAATTGATGAGTGAAGTCAGCAAAGTTGTAGAACACAAGAAAATTATAGAAATATCAGATGTTTGTGTATGTATATGTGCGGCGTGTGTGTGTGTGTGTGTGTGTGTGTGTGTGTGTGTGTGTGTGTGTGTGTGTGAAGAGCTTTTAGAGTCTGAAATTTTATCCTCTTTATAAGTTATTTCTAAGGTAAAAGCTTAGTCTGTCTCACTTTCATGAAGATTGATAAAAGATATGGAATTCCTTAAACAAAGAATACAGTATAGACAAACTTGACCATAGCATTGCCATGTTTACAATTTTGCTGAACCCCAGTTCTGAAGGAGTGATATAAAGATGACCAGGTAACTCCTGTGCCTGTAGGTAATTTTATCATACAAACTTTAAGAACTTGAATTGTGTGTGTGTGTGTGTGTGTGTGTGTGTGTGTGTGTGTGTGTGTAATGTGCTGGTCCTGGTGCTTGAACCCAAGGCCTGGATGCTATCCCTGGGCTTCTTTTGCTCAAAAGTAGTGCTCTACCATTCGAGCCACTTCCAACTTTTTAGACCCATTGGAGATTTTCGTTCCTGGGCTGGCTTCAGACCATGAGTCTCACATCTCAGTTTTCTGAAGAGCTAGGATTACAGCCCTGTGCCACCCTGCTGCCTAAATAGCTTTTAAGGGATTTTTTTTTACTCTTGACAGTAAACAAATCTTCCCTTTATTGTGGAAAAAGACACTCTCTTTATAAGCTGAGATTATTTGCTATGAAATATATTCCAGAACAAAGGCAATCAGTGCCTCCCTTTGTAAGGCATTCTGAAAAGCAAGAAATCTCT